AAGAACACATCCCGGGGCACAAGAACACATCCCGGGGCACAAGAACACATCCCGGGGCACAAGAACACATCCCGGGGCCACAAGAACACATCCCGGGGCACAAGAACACATCCCGGGGCCACAAGAACACATCCCGGGGCACAAGAACACATCCCGGGGCACAAGACACATCCCGGGGCACAAGAACACATCCCGGGGCACAAGAACACATCCCGGGGCACAAGAACACATCCCGGGGCCACAAGAACACATCCCGGGCACAAGAACACATCCCGGCCACAAGAACACATCCCGGGGCACAAGAACACATCCCGGGGCACAAGAACACATCCCGGGCCACAAGAACACATCCCGGGGCCACAAGAACACATCCCGGGGCACAAGAACACATCCCGGGCCTCAAGAACACATCCCGGGGCACAAGAACACATCTCGGGGCACAAGAACACATCCCGGGGCCACAAGAACACATCCCGGGGCCACAAGAACACATCCCGGGGCAAAAGAACACATCCCGGGGCACAAGAACACATCCCGGGGGACAAGAACACATCCCGGGGCACACGAACACATCCCGGGGCACCAGAACACATCCCGGGGCCACAAGAACACATCCCGGGGCACCAGAACACATCCCGGGGCCACAGGAACACATCCCGGGGCCACAAGAACACATCCCGGGGCACCAGAACACATCCCGGGGCCACAAGAACACATCCCGGGGCACAAGAACACATCCCGGGGCAACAAGAACACATCCCGGGGCACAAGAACACATCCCGGGGCCACAAGAACACATCCCGGGGCACCAGAACACATCCCGGGGCCACAAGAACACATTCCGGGGCACAAGAACACATCCCGGGGCACAAGAACACATCCCGGGGTCACAAGAACACATCCCGGGGCACAAGAACACATCCCGGGGCCACAAGAACACATCCCGGGGCACAAGAACACATCCCGGGGGCACAAGAACACATCCCGGGGCACAAGAACACATCCCAGGGCACAAGAACACATCCCGGGGCCACAAGAACACATCCCGGGGCCACAAGAACACATCCCGGGCCACAAGAACACATCCCGGGGCCACAAGAACACATCCCGGGGCACAAGAACACATCCCGGGGCCACAAGAACACATCCCGGGGCACAAGAACACATCCCGGGCCACAAGAACACATCCCGGGCCACAAGAACACATCCCGGGGCCACAAGAACACATCCCGGGGCACAAGAACACATCCCGGGGCCACAAGAACACATCCCGGGGCACAAGAACACATCCCGGGGCCACAAGAACACATCCCGGGCCACAAGAACACATCCCGGGGCCACAAGAACACATCCCGGGGCACAAGAACACATCCCGGGGCACAAGAACACATCCCGGGGCACAAGAACACATCCCGGGGCACAAGAACACATCCCGGGGCACAAGAACACATCCCGGGGCACAAGAACACATCCCGGGCACAAGAACACATCCCGGGGCCACAAGAACACATCCCGGGGCCACAAGAACACATCCCGGGGCACAAGAACACATCCCGGGGCACAAGAACACATCCCGGGGCCACAAGAACACATCCCGGGGCCACAAGAACACATCCCGGGGCACAAGAACACATCCCGGGGCACAAGAACACATCCCGGGGCACAAGAACACATCCCGGGGCACCAGAACACATCCCGGGCCACAAGAACACATCCCGGGGCACCAGAACACATCCCGGGGCCACAAGAACACATCCCGGGGCCACAAGAACACATCCCGGGGCACCAGAACACATCCCGGGGCCACAAGAACACATTCCGGGGCACAAGAACACATCCCGGGGCCACAAGAACACATCCCGGGGTACAAGAACACATCCCGGGGTACAAGAACACATCCCGGGGCCACAAGAACACATCCCGGGGCACAAGAACACATCCCGGGGCACAAGAACACATCCCGGGGCACAAGAACACATCCCGGGGCCACAAGAACACATCCCGGGCCACAAGAACACATCCCGGGGCACAAGAACACATCCCGGGGCACAAGAACACATCCCGGGGCACAAGAACACATCCCGGGGCACAAGAACACATCCCGGGGCACAAGGACACATCCCGGGGCACAAGAACACATCCCGGGGCCACAAGAACACATCCCGGGGCACAAGAACACATCCCGGGGCCACAAGAACACATCCCGGGGCACAAGAACACATCCCGGGGCACAAGAACACATCCCGGGGCACAAGAACACATCCCGGGGCACAAGAACACATCCCGGGGCACAAGAACACATCCCGGGGCACAAGAACACATCCCGGGGCCACAAGAACACATCCCGGGGCACAAGAACACATCCCGGGGCCACAAGAACACATCCCGGGCCACAAGAACACATCCCGGGGCCACAAGAACACATCCCGGGGCACAAGAACACATCCCGGGGCACAAGAACACATCCCGGGGCACAAGAACACATCCCGGGGCACAAGAACACATCCCGGGGCACAAGAACACATCCCGGGGCACAAGAACACATCCCGGGGCACCAGAACACATCCCGGGGCCACAGAACACATCCCGGGGCACCAGAACACATCCCGGGGCCACAAGAACACATCCCGGGGCCACAAGAACACATCCCGGGGCACCAGAACACATCCCGGGGCCACAAGAACACATTCCGGGGCCAGAAGAACACATCCCGGCCACAAGAACACATCCCGGGGCACCACAACACATCCCGGGCCACAAGAACACATCCCGGGGCACCACAACACATCCCGGGGCACAAGAACACATCCCGGGGCCACAAGAACACATCCCGGGGCCACAAGAACACATCCCGGGGCCACAAGAACACATCCCGGGGCCACAAGAACACATCCCGGGGCACAAGAACACATCCCGGGGCCACAAGAACACATCCCGGGGCACAAGAACACATCCGGGGCACAAGAACACATCCCGGGGCACAAGAACACATCCCGGGGCACAAGAACACATCCCGGGGCACAAGAACACATCCCGGGGCACAAGAACACATCCCGGGGCACCAGAACACATCCCGGGGCCACAAGAACACATTCCGGGGCACAAGAACACATCCCGGGGCCACAAGAACACATCCCGGGGTACAAGAACACATCCCGGGGAACAAGAACACATCCCGGGGCCACAAGAACACATCCCGGGGCACAAGAACACATCCCGGGGCACAAGAACACATCCCGGGGCACAAGAACACATCCCGGGGCCACAAGAACACATCCCGGGGCCACAAGAACACATCCCGGGGCACAAGAACACATCCCGGGGCACAAGAACACATCCCGGGGCACAAGAACACATCCCGGGGCACAAGAACACATCCCGGGGCACAAGAACACATCCCGGGGCACAAGAACACATCCCGGGGCCACAAGAACACATCCCGGGGCACAAGAACACATCCCGGGGCCACAAGAACACATCCCGGGGCACAAGAACACATCCCGGGGCACAAGAACACATCCCGGGGCACAAGAACACATCCCGGGGCACAAGAACACATCCCGGGGCACAAGAACACATCCCGGGGGCACAAGAACACATCCCGGGGCACAAGAACACATCCCGGGGCCACAAGAACACATCCCGGGGCCACAAGAACACATCCCGGGGCCACAAGAACACATCCCGGGGCACAAGAACACATCCCGGGGCACAAGAACACATCCCGGGGCACAAGAACACATCCCGGGGCACAAGAACACATCCCGGGGCACAAGAACACATCCCGGGGCACAAGAACACATCCCGGGGCACCAGAACACATCCCGGGGCCACAAGAACACATCCCGGGGCACCAGAACACATCCCGGGCCACAAGAACACATCCCGGGGCCACAAGAACACATCCCGGGGCACCAGAACACATCCCGGGGCCACAAGAACACATTCCGGGGCCACAAGAACACATCCCGGCCACAAGAACACATCCCGGGGCACCACAACACATCCCGGGCCACAAGAACACATCCCGGGGCACCACAACACATCCCGGGGCACAAGAACACATCCCGGGCCAACACATCCCGGGGCCACAAGAACACATCCCGGGGCCACAAGAACACATCCCGGGGCCACAAGAACACATCCCGGGGCCGCAAGAACACATCCCGGGGCACAAGAACACATCCCGGGGCCACAAGAACACATCCCGGGGCACAAGAACACATCCGGGGCACAAGAACACATCCCGGGGCACAAGAACACATCCCGGGGCACAAGAACACATCCCGGGGCACAAGAACACATCCCGGGGCACAAGAACACATCCCGGGGCACAAGAACACATCCCGGGGCACAAGAACACATCCCGGGGCACAAGAACACATCCCGGGGCACAAGAACACATCCCGGGGCCACAAGAACACATCCCGGGCCACAAGAACACATCCCGGGGCCACAAGAACACATCCCGGGGCACAAGAACACATCCCGGGGCACAAGAACACATCCCGGGGCACAAGAACACATCCCGGGCCACAAGAACACATCCCGGGCCACAAGAACACATCCCGGGGCCACAAGAACACATCCCGGGGCCACAAGAACACATCCCGGGGCACAAGAACACATCCCGGGGCACAAGAACACATCCCGGGGCACAAGAACACATCCCGGGGCCACAAGAACACATCCCGGGCCACAAGAACACATCCCGGGCCACAAGAACACATCCCGGGCCACAAGAACACATCCCGGGGCACAAGAACACATACACAGATGGCGGTAGCGACTAATATGGCGACAAAGCGAGTGACCTGGCCAAACCCCTTCGCCTGAAGCTCCCGGATCTAGATCAAGTTCACACCCCTGATGCACCTGTTCACCCCTGGTGGCCCCCCAGGGGTGAACAGGTGCATCAGGGGGTGAATACTAGCAACCAAAGAGGTTAAACTGTTGCAACAAGTGGGTGAACAGATGCATCAGGGGGAAAATATACTCACACTGGCGTTCAATATCGTCGTCTAAGAGGAGAGAGACCACCTCCTTAGGCTTCAAGGTGTCAGGTTTAAAGTTGCCGCCAGAGATGACCATCCGCTGGATCTGTGGGTAGAGTACTGGGGTGAGTACTGGGTGTACTGGGGTGTGTACTGGGTGTACTGGGGTGTGTACTGGGGGTACTGGGGTGTGTACTGGGTGTACTGGGGTGAGTACTGTGTGTACTGGGTGTACTGGGTGTGTACTGGGGTACTGGGGTGTGTACTGGGGGTACTGGGTGTACTGGGGAGTACTGGGGTGAGTACTGGGGGTACTGGGGTGTGTACTGGGGGTACTGGGGTGTACTGGGGGTGCTGGGTGTACTGGGGGGGTACTGGGTGTACTGGGGTGAGTACTGGGTGTACTGGGGTGTGTACTAGAGGTACTGGGGTGTGTACTGGGGTGTGTACTGGGGGTACTGGGGTGTGTACTGGGGGTACTGGGGTGTGTACTGGGGTGTGTACTGGGTGGGGTACTGGGTGTACTGGGATGTGTACTGGGGGTTTTTGGGGTGTGTACTGGGTGTACTGGGGTGGGTACTGGGTGTACTGGGGTGTGTACTGGGGGTACTGGGTGTACTGGGGTGAGTACTGGGGATACTGGGTGCACTGGGGTGGGTACTGGGGGTACTGGGTGTACTGGGGTGTGTACTGGGGGTACTGGGTGTACTGGGGTGGGTATTGGGTGTACTGGGGTGAGTACTGGGGGTACAGGGTGTACTGGGGGGTACTGGGTGTACTGGGGTGAGTACTGGGTGTACTGGGGGTGCTGGATGTACTGGGGTGGGTACTGGGTGTACTGGGGTGAGTACTGGGTGTACTGGGGGTGCTGGGTGTACTGGGGTGGGTACTGGGGTGAGTACTGGGGGTGCTGGGTGTACTGGGGTGGGTACTGGGTGTACTGGGGTGAGTACTGGGTGTACTGGGGAGTACTGGGTGTACTGGGGTGAGTACTGGGTGTACTGGGGTGTGTACTGGGGGTACTGGGTGTACTGGGGAGTACTGGGTGTACTGGGGTAAGTACTGGGTGTACTGGGGGTACTGGGTGTACTGGGGAGTTCTGGGTGTACTGGGCGTACTGGGGAGTACTGGGTGTACTGGGGTGTGCACTGGGGGTACTGGGTGTACTAGGTGTACTGGGGTGAGTACTGGGTGTACTGGGGGTACTGGGTGTACTGGGGTGTGAACTGGGGGTACTGGGTGTACTGGGGTGAGTACTGGGTGTACTGGGGTGTGTACTGGGTGTACTGGTGAGTACTGGGTGTACTGGGGGGGGTACCGGGTGTACTGAGGGTACTGGGGTGGGTACTGGGGGTACTGGGTGAGTACTGGGTGTACTGGGGGAGTACTGGGGTGTACTGGGTGTACTGGGGTGGGTACTGGGGAGTACTGGGGGTACTGGGTGTACTGGGGTGTACTGGTACTGGGGGGTACTGGGGAGTACTGGGGGTACTGGGTGTACTGGTGAGTACTGGGTGTACTGGGGTGGGTACTGGGTGTACTGAATGAGTACTGGGGGTACTGGGGTGTGTACTGGGGTGTGTACTGGGGGTACTGGGTGGGTACTGGGGGGTGTACTGGGTGGGTACTGGGGTGTGTACTGGGTGGGTACTGGGGTGTGTACTGGGTGAGTACTGGGTGTGTACTGGGTGTACTGGGGTGAGTACTGGGGAGTACTGGGGGTACTGGGTGTACTGGGGTGGGTACTGGGGAGTACTGGGGGTACTGGGGTGTACTGGGGTGGGTACTGGGGGTACTGGGGAGTACTGGGGGTACTGGGTGTACTGGTGAGTACTGGGTGTACTGGGGTGGGTACTGGGGAGTACTGAATGTGTACTGGGGGTACTGGGGTGTACTGGGGTGGGTACTGGGTGTACTGGGGTGTGTACTGGGTGTACTGGGGTTGTACTGGGGGTACTGGGGAGTACTGGGGAGTACTGGGTGTACTGGGGTGTGTACTGGGGGTACTGGGTGTACTGGGGTGAGTACTGGGGTACTGGGTGCACTGGGGTGGGTACTGGGGTACTGGGTGTACTGGGGTGGGTATTGGGTGTACTGGGGTGAGTACTGGGGGTACAGGGTGTACTGGGGGGGTACTGGGTGTACTGGGGTGAGTACTGGGTGTACTGGGGTGCTGGATGTACTGGGGTGGGTACTGGGGTGTACTGGGGTGAGTACTGGGTGTACTGGGGGTGCTGCGTGTACTGGGGTGGGTACTGGGGGTGCTGGGTGTACTGGGGTGGGTACTGGGTGTACTGGGGTGAGTACTGGGTGTACTGGGGTGGGTACTGGGTGTACTGGGGTGAGTACTGGGTGTACTGGGGTGAGTACTGGGTGTACTGGGGTGTGTACTGGGGGTACTGGGTGTACTGGGGTAAGTACTGGGTGTACTGGGGAGTTCTGGGGTGTACTGGGCGTACTGGGGGTACTGGGGAGTACTGGGTGTACTGGGGTGTGCACTGGGGGTACTGGGTGTACTAGGTGTACTGGGGTGAGTACTGGGTGTACTGGGGGTACTGGGGTGTGAACTGGGTGTACTGGGTGTACTGGGGAGTACTGGGTGTACTGGGGTGAGTACTGGGTGTACTGGGGTGTGTACTGGGTGTACTGGGGAGTACTGGGTGTACTGGGGAGTACTGGGGGTACTGGGGTGTACTGGGGTGAGTACTGGGGGTACTGGGGAGTACTGGGGGTACTGGGTGTACTGGTGAGTACTGGGTGTACTGGGGTGGGTACTGGGTGTACTGAATGAGTACTGGGGGTACTGAGGTGTGTACTGGGGTGTGTACTGGGGGTACTGGGTGGGTACTGGGGGGTGTACTGGGGGGTACTGGGGTGTGTACTGGGTGGGTACTGGGGTGTGTACTGGGTGAGTACTGGGTGTACTGGGGTACTGGGTGTACTGGGGTGAGTACTGGGGAGTACTGGGGGTACTGGGGTGTACTGGGGTGGGTACTGGGGAGTACTGGGGGTACTGGGTGTACTGGGGTGGGTACTGGGGGTACTGGGGAGTACTGGGGGTACTGGGTGTACTGGTGAGTACTGGGTGTACTGGGGTGGTACTGGGTGTACTGAATGTGTACTGGGGTACTACTGGGTGTACTGGCGTGGGTACTGGGTGTACTGGGGTGTGTACTGGGGTGTGTACTGGGGGTACTGGGGTGTACTGGGGTGTGTACTGGGGGTACTGGGGAGTACTGGGTGTACTGGGGTGTGTACTGGGGGTACTGGGTGTACTGGGGTGAGTACTGGGGGTACTGGGTGCACTGGGTGGGTACTGGGGGTACTGGGGAGTACTGGGGTGGGTATTGGGTGTACTGGGGTGAGTACTGGGGGTACTGGGTGTACTGGGGGGTACTGGGTGTACTGGGGTGAGTACTGGGTGTACTGGGGGTGCTGGATGTACTGGGGTGGGTACTGGGTGTACTGGGGTGAGTACTGGGTGTACTGGGGGTGCTGCGTGTACTGGGGGTGCTGGGTGTACTGGGGTGGGTACTGGGTGTACTGGGGTGAGTACTGGGTGTACTGGGGTGGATACTGGGTGTACTGGGGTGAGTACTGGGTGTACTGGGGTGAGTACTGGGTGTACTGGGGTGTGTACTGGGGGTACTGGGTGTACTGGGGTAGTACTGGGTGTACTGGGGTAAGTACTGGGTGTACTGGGGTAGTACTGGGTGTACTGGGGAGTTCTGGGTGTACTGGGCGTACTGGGGGTACTGGGGAGTACTGGGGTGTGCACTGGGGAGTACTAGGTGTACTGGGTGAGTACTGGGTGTACTGGGTGTACTGGGGTGTGAACTGGGTGTACTGGGTGTACTGGGGAGTACTGGGTGTACTGGGGTGAGTACTGGGTGTACTGGGGTGTGTACTGGGTGTACTGGTGAGTACTGGGTGTACTGGGTGTACTGGGGTGGGTACTGGGGAGTACTGGGGGTACTGGGTGTACTGGGGTGGGTACTGGGGTACTGGGGAGTACTGGGGGTACTGGGTGTACTGGGGTGGGTACTGGGTGTACTGAATGAGTACTGGGGGTACTGAGGTGTGTACTGGGGTGTGTACTGGGGGTACTGGGTGGATACTGGGGGGTGTACTGGGTGGGTACTGGGGTGTGAACTGGGTGGGTACTGGGGTGTGTACTGGGTGAGTACTGGGGTGTGTACTGGGTGTACTGGGGTGAGTACTGGGGTGTGTATTGGGTGTACTGGGTGAGTACTGGTGTGTACTGGGTGAGTACTGGGTGGGTATACTGGGGTGTACTGGGTTTACTGGGGTGTACTGGGCGAGTACTGGGGAGTACTGGGGTGTATTGGGGTGAGTACTGGAGGTACTGGGGTCAGTACTGGGTGTACTGGGTGAGTACTGGGTGTACTGGGGAGTACTGGGGTCAGTACTGGGTGTACTGGGGACAGTACTGGGTGTACTGGGGGTACGGGGGTGAGTACTGGGGGTACCGGGGTGAGTACTGGGTGAGTACTGGGGTGAGTACTGGGGGTGAGTACTGGGGTCAGTACTGGGGTTCAGTACTGGGGTCAGTACTGGGGGTCAGTTCTGGGGTCAGTACTGGGGTCAGTACTGGGGTTCAGTACTGGGGGTCAGTACTGGGGTCAGTACTGGGGTCAGTACTGGGGTCAGTACTGGAGGCCAGTGCTGGGGTCAGTACTGGGGTCAGTACTGGGGTCAGTACTGGGGGTCAGTACTGGGGGTCAGTACTGGAGGCCAGTACTGGAGGCCAGTACTGGGGGTCAGTACTGGGGTCAGTACTGGGGGTCAGTACTGGGGTCAGTACTGGTACTGTCAGTACAGGGGTCAGTACTGGGGTCAGTACTGGGGTCAGTACTGGGGGTCAGTACTGGGGGTCAGTACGGGGGGTCAGTACTGGGGGTCAGTACTGGGGGTCAGTACTGGGGTCAGTACTGGGGTCAGTACTGGGGGTCAGTACTGGGGTCAGTACAGGGGTCAGTACTCGGGTCAGTACTGGGGTCAGTACTGGGGTCAGTACAGGGGTCAGTACTGGGGTCAGTACTGGGGTCAGTACTGGGGTCAGTACTGGGGTCAGTACTGGG